CCTCACATCACTCCAGTGTCCGATCTCGTTCATCGAAGTGGACTCTCTCTCTCTGATATCCTTACACGATACTTTGAAAGACTTTACCTGCCTGTGTTACTTACCTCCTGTGTTTCCTCCAGTGTGTTCTCCTGTGATCCATTCCCTAGTCCGTTCCCGTCATCTGCTCCGTGGATTCCCCATATACTCAGCCACTGAGGGGTGTGCTGTCCTCTGTCTCCCTTCCACGATCTCCTGGAGGACCATATACGGAATTACTCTGCCCATCTACCTTAAGGACCATTACCCTAAGTGCATCTACTCACCTGCCCTATCCATTCGCACCCCTTGCTGAAAATAAACATTATTTTATTTTTCTAACCATCTGTGTGAGTCTCATTCCGTAACAGTTAGCTGATCATTATATTAATGCAAAATTTTTTTTTTTTTCAGTGAATTGACCCAAAAATGTTTGCTTGACACAAATTCTAACACGAAGCTTTTATTTTATTTTTTCAACATTACACCATGTTACATAAAAACGGTGATGAAACAGAACTATGAACAGACACATAATCGTTGCACAGTCTCCATCGGAAGCGTGCGATGCATGATTTGATAACACCTTTGCCATTTTAAAAGACACCGCAATGGAGACCAACTACTAAAGGCAGTAAAAACACAAGTATGCATCGACAAGAAAATGGAGTGGCTTTGTGTGGAACAAAGATCTTCTAGTGTTGTTCAGTAATTACAACCTACTGTATGAAGCACCAACAGTGTACGAGAACCCAAAGCCAGAGCTTACCAGCAAGCCTGAGCTTACATATTTCATATTAGTCCACAATATAACACAAATAGAAGTTGTATATCGCAGTGCTTTTATCGTTAAACTGAATAAATTATGTAAACTTAGTGTCCATGCATTTTTAATGAATGATGATGAACATTTAATGTTAGAAATGTTCATCTAGTGATTGTTAAAGCTGAACTTTTACATATCGACACCAAGAATAAATAAAAATAACATGATATATGTACAGTGCCATACATGTTTTGGATACAATAAATTAAGTTTATAGTGTAATAGTGATGACAATAAAAAAAAAGTGATGTTTACGATTAAAACTTTGTGTAAATATATAGGCCTATTATTATAAACATCTCTGGGCAATTTTAAGAATTTGAAATCGATGTAAGGCGTAAAGAAACGGCTGGAGCAGTTTATGAAATTGATATTCCATCACTAATAATCAGATTTTTGAGATATGGAGCGACTGTAGGGATGCGCGAGTCTTCATTCTGTCTTTATTATATACACCAGAGACGTACAGAGACTGCTGTATATGTGAGTGAAATAACATCTGGTGATGTGGTGTCATCTTCCTTGCTTATCTTCAAATGTCTGCATAGCATCCGTATTAGATTAGAGTGGATATTACTGGCGTCTCTGGAGGGCGAGGGGTTCAGTGTCCAAGTCCAAATGTCCAAATGTTAGAAAAGGGACACTTTCTTCTTCAGGTCGTTCCGTTTCCATAGTGACAGACGATCAAATTCTGTGATGGACATTCCGAATAAGCTCTGGAATTCCTCTGGAGACAGATGCCGCTTTAAAAACAAAATCACCACAATCGCTCAGTTTATATGTGCGGTCTGAGACAAAACACTATAGAGGACGGGGTATATTTATTATAATAAAATAATAATAATAATAATAAACTATTTGAAAATATAAAAATTCATAAATAATGTTTTATAAAAATGTATTTATGCATTTGTGGTAGGAGTGTTTGGAAAACAATAAAAATAAATAATAAAATAAATACATTTTTAATAAATGATGTTGTTGTTGTTATTATTTTCCCTCAAACATGCAATCATAAATAAATAAATAAATCTGTTTATACAGTATGTTCAGTTACTTTATCCAATAATAATAATAATAATAATAATTTACTATTTGTGTTAGGAGTGTTAGGAAAATATAATAATAATAATAATAATAAACTATTTGAAAATGTAAAAAACATTAAGAAATATTTATTTTCATTTTTTTATTAAAAAATATGAAAATGTATTCGATATGTTTTCATAAAATAAATATATATTTTCAATAAATGTTATTATTATTATTATTATTATTATCCCTCAAACACAATCACAAATAAATAAATATGTTCAGTTACTGCATCCAATAATACTACTACTACTACTACTAATAAACTATTTGAAAATGTAAAAAACATTAAGAAATATTTATTTTCATTTTTTATTAAAAATATGAAAATGTATTCTATGTTTTCATAAAATAAATTTTTTTTTTTCAATAAATTTGATTATTATTATTATCCCTCAAACACACAATCACTTTAGTTACTATATCCAATAATAATAATAATAATTATTATTATTATTATTATTTTGTTTTCTAAACACTCCTACCACAAAGAAAAAATAAATAAATACACATTTTGTAATTATTATTATTATAATTATTATTACAAAATGTAATAATACTTTAATAATGATTTATTATTCATATTTTATTAATAAAACAATAATATATATACTTATTTTTGCTAATTCTTTTGAGCATATAATGGCAAAGAAACTCAAGGACATTAAAGGGGTCATATGATGCTGCTAAAAAGAACATTATTTTGTGTATTTGGTGTAATGAAATGTGTTTATGCGGTTTAAAGTTCAAAAAACACATTATTTTCCACATACTGTACATTATGTTTCTCCTCTATGCCCCGCCTTTTTGAAACGCGTCGATTTTTACAAAACTCATCGGTCTGAAAAAGCGAGGTATGCTGTGATTGGCCAGCTATCCAATGCGTTATGATTGGCCGAATACCTCAAGCGTGAGACGCAAATGTTATTACAGATCTTCTTTATGCACCAAGAGCTTGTAACACTCCAAAGAGAAAGGAAAAATTGAAATCGCATCATATGACCCCTTTAAACTGTTACATTAACTTTGTTTTTTGTTTTTAACCAAGGTTAACCAGTGCTTATTTGTGACTTGCCTCTAATCTGGTCCTGTCAACACCTGGAGGAAGCTTACTGCGCCCTCTGTGGGTTACAATCAGCATTTCATATGGATATATCTGAAGGGAGATGAGATTTCATTACATTTTGGTAACATTTTATGCCGTAGTCGTCCTTTTTGATTGACTGGACACAGTAAACAGGCCGTCACATATTAGCGGCTTGCTCACGGGAGAATGTTCACTACACAAACAACCTCCAAAGTTTTCATTTCGATATTGTCTTCATGGATGGCGTCACAGTGAATTCTGCATTCAATGGAAGCGAGGCTTAGAAGCAACATGGATGTGAGTGAATGTGTGGCATGGGGTTAGAAGAGAGAAGCAGAACATGAAAACTTTGGAGGGTCTCGTAAGATCTGCCTCACCTTCTGTTCCAGAATACTAGGAAGAGAGCTTCCTCTGTCCATTCTCCCACTCTGTGAATCGCCATTCTATGAAGACGGCACCCCAGCCCCGAAAAATGCCCCCCCCCGGGACAAAGGAGATCAATATGAGACAGGTACATTTACATCCATAATAATGAATCAGCCTCATTCGATTATTAAGTGTGCAAACAGTGTGTGGAGATCAAATGAGTCTGAAGCCATGAAAGGAGTGTAGGCTAATGTCAGGGTAAAGATACATTAGTAGCAGGAAATGCCAGAGCCTATTAGAAAACCCAACAGCCATGCTTGTGAGATCTTCTTACCTGTACACCTGAGGAACACAGAAAGAAAAAGCAGAAAAATACAGTGACATTAAACTAATATTTTCCTCATATTTGTGGATTCTCACTCAAATTGTGTTATGCTGATAATAGAATTTATAGCAGAAACATATAAATAATGAGTATTTTAATACACTGCTTATGTGTACTACATTTTTGGCCATACCTGTTTTTGCTTTTCCATTGTCTGTGGAGGTGAAGTCTGCAGACCGCAGCTACATGCATGAAGAGAAACACACATCAGAGACTCAAAAGAGCTACAGGAACATCTTAAACATCAGCCCATCTTTAAAAGGGGCATTTAAAAATCAACCTTGATATTCTGAAATATAAAAGTGTATGTAGTTAGTATGTAAACAAACATAATCTCAGAATAAAAAATGGTTTGTTTCCAAATCTGTACTATAATGACACCCAAACTTAAAACAGATTATGTGGCTACCAATATTTATACCATCCCAACTATACTGGATGTGACAGCAAGCCCACATTTTAAGCAAGTGTGAAGAGGTTAACCAATCAAAACAGTATTTACATATATTTAAATTTACACACACTCTTAAAGGTATAGAAGCAAAAAAAAAAAAAAAAAGCGTTTACATCTAAGGGTCAGAGAGATATGAAAAACGCTAATAATATTTAATATTACAAATAAAAATGTATGATATGAATCAGTAAATAAAGACTACGTGCTATTTACTACAATTAATATGATGCATTTTCATATTTAATATTACAGTGAATAATGTTAATAATTAATATTTGTAATGGTAATTTTTAATATAGCAAAGAAAATATATTTATCCGTAAAGAAAAATGAAATGTATTTATTAAAATAATGAATGCTAATAAGCAATATTATTAATTAATATTCATATTTAATAAAACATTCATATTACAAATAAAAAATTATGATACTGATCAGAAAAAAATGTTAATGCTAATTAATAGTATTAATTAATATTAATAATTACATTAGTAAACAAAGACTACCTTTTAATTACTGCAGTTAATAATGTTAATTGTTATTATTATTAAATTACATATTTAATATTAAAATAATATTATTTAGTAAAGATAGAATACATTTGTTAATTTGTCATTTTATTACCATTAATAATTGTAATAATTAATATAATTAATTTTCATATATAACAATCATTTAGAATATTTATGAATTTTCGATTTTAAAGTGCCCCTATTATGCCATTTCCAATATTGCCTTTCATGCAGTGTGTAATGTAGCTGTATGTGAATGTAAACCATCAGCAAAGTTGTAAAGCCGAAAGTGCACGATAAATAAAGTTATTGTCTCCCAAAATAAAGAATCAACTCTCTACAGCCTAAATGAGTCGTTAGTAATTCGAATCCCACTTCTGTGACGGGTAACACATTTGCATAATTCCCGCCTATGTTCTACGTTGGCCGGCCGCGAACAACTTGACTCCGCCCACAAACACGTCAATCTACTGACGACTGCTTCTCTAATCTCGGGGAGTTCAACGCGGGATTCACAAAATGCTTGCTGTTGAAAGATGGATCAGTATCCTGTTTATTTGGATCAGCTGCTCCACTGAATCATAAGTATGATAAATAATAGATGTTTACATTTTCTATCGAGCGTTCAAAATACAGAACTATTGAAATAGGCGTATCGCTTCCGAAACGCGCTGTACGCCGTAGACCAATCACAACACACTAGGCCATCTGGCCAATCAGAGCAGAGCAGGCTCACGGAAAGGAGGGGTTTAGAGAGACTGAATCTTTGAACTGCTTCGAACGAATCGTTTGAGAATCGCTGGAAAGTGAAGTGATATTAAATGCATATTTTGAGAAAACGACAGCGTTTTTTGACCTTGCATGCATGCAATCCTATTGTAGGAGACTCCCAAAACAATATTAGGAACCGTAAAAATGGCATAATATGGGCACTTTAAATGACAAAAAAAAATAAAAAATTGATCAACATTATAGGAAAAGTCATATGATGATTAAAATGTAAAATACTACGCCTGTATAGATGCATCTCTCTTACCCTGGTGAGGCCTGTTCGACTGCAGGGAGGTAAAGAGGCTGATTTAGTAGCACTGGCTGATGATCCTGCAATGAATGCCAATGAAACATTTCATTAGAAGCACAATATACGTACATTCCTCAATATACTTTCTATTCACACAAACGATGTTCAAGGTTCTTCATAGAACCATCAATACCAAAAAAGAACCTTTAATTTTAAGAGTGCAAACTCTAATAGAAAATGCCTTTCAAATGTCAATAGATGAAGCTACTGAAAGCACATGTTGCATGAAGTGCACTAAGACTAAAACAGACATCACATACCCAAATGTATGTTTGTCCCATCTGGCAGGGAACGTGTTTTTCTGCGGATGAGCACTGATTTCTCAATTTCCTCCTTCAGGATCAATTTGCCCAAGTTGGACTGTATCTGAAAAACAAACAGCCCAGTCATGATTAGCGAGCTCCATTAATGTTGTGCGTGCGTATCCTTCCAGCACTGCCTTCAAACAAAACACTTCATCCTCTAGCCATAGAGAAATATTCCCAGCGCAGCGGCTGATTTATGTAGACAGTATTGATGTATCGATGTCCTGCTTTCACCTTCTGAAGTTCCTGTTCTTGGAGTCTCTTTGCATCTTCTGTCAGGTCCTCAAACTCATCGTCCTCGGTTGGCTTTCCCTGCTCGGCTGCCTTCTTCTTCCACTCAATCTCTGTGAGTGAGTGAATTTATATTCATATTTAAAGGGGTCATAAGATGCGATTTAAATTTTTCCTTTCTCTTTGGAGGCATCATATGACCCCTTTAATATTACAACAATACTAGAATACTACAACATAGAATGCCACAATAAAATACTATAATATACATATATATAGTAAAAATAAATATTGTTAAATATTAATCAGTGAAGAGAGACTTTTAATTATTATAATTAATAATGTTAATAATTATTGTTCACTAATATTCATTTTTAATATCACAGTAATAGTAGAATACTAGAGTATAATACAATTGTTTTAATTATGACTATGAAAGAAATGATCGTATTGATTTGATCAATAGATTCATCAATTTTAATTATTATAATCAATAATGTTAATAATAGTAGTAATTCATATGTATATTTCATATTAAAATAATATTAGGATACTACAATATAATATTGTAGTATTGTATAATAAGAAGTCATAAAAATTCAATCATAAACCAGTGGAGAAAAATTAAATTTAAATTATTAAAATGAATGCTAGTCATTAGTAATTAAAATGAATAATTAATATTCGTATTACAATAATATCGTAATACTACAATATATTACAAATAATATAATTTACAATAATAATAATTATTATAACTTGAAAGAAATAATATTGATTAATCAATAAATTCATCGATTTTAATTATTATATACAATAATGTTAATAATAGTAGTAATTCGTATATAGCATTAATTAATATTTATATTTCATATTACAATAATATTAGGATATTACAATATAATATTGTAATATTGTATAATTAGAAGTAATAAAAATTAAATCGTAAACCAGTGGAGAAAAATTACATTTAAATTATTAAAATGAATGCTAGTCATTAGTAATTATTAGTAATTAATATTAGTAATTAATAATTGAATAATATTCATATTTAACATTACAACTATCAGAATACTACAATATATAAAAAATAATATAATTTACAATAATAATAATAATAATAATCAACAAAGACTAAATATGAATTATTATAATTAATAATGTTAATAATTATTATTAATAGTACGGATTGATTAGTATTAATATTTATATTCAATATTACATTATTATTAGATTACTACAATATATAATATTTGAATATTGTATGATTAATAATTTTATTATATAAAAATACAATTATTAATCAGTGGAGAAAGACTACATTTATTTAATTTGTATTTAATATCACAATAATATTAAAATACTACAATATAATATTATAATGAATAATATTTACTATACTATTTTTATACTATTATTATTATTATACTAATAATATTTATATTTATTATACTAACTACATTTTAAATGCATATACTGTATGTTAAAAGTGAATCATCTCTGATTAATTCAAGTTAATCAACTCTGCGTGCTTCTCTAAAGCTGCAATATTATCAGGGACATTACATTTCAGTCATTTCACCTTCAGTATGCAGTGATGTGGAGTGGGAGTTTGGACCAATCAAATGTCACTGTGGGAGGGGCTACAGAAATATGAAGCTGCTGAGCATTTACCCATAGTGGCTAGAGAGGGTGGACAGGGCCAGTACTCTGTCTCTATCTTCGAAGGTTGGTTGGGATCAGGCGGCTGGGCTGCTGGGAACTTGGAGGACTCAATGATCACATCATGTTTATTATGAGACGTTCCCATCTGTCCGTCTGAGGACAGAGACAAGATAAACAGCATAATGTGACCAGTTCATCTTTCAGTACACCCTGGAAAACCAAGAGTGAGGTGAAGCTCACTAACTAGAAAACTATATGTATGAAATAATAAAAGAACAAATACCATGTTTGTAAATTGGTGGTTTCTTATAGATGTTGGTGCCACTGTCTGAAACACAAATGTACAGTTACAGCTCACACACGCTGGAATGATTCTGAAAGGTGTTGCTGTGCTGTGATTGAAGTACCCGGCCTGTGGAAGTGCTGCACGGGGCTGATTTTGCGGAGCTGCACTGTGGAGCCTCCTGGAGAGCCCTGCTCTGACCACTCCTTTGACTCTTTTGAAGCAAATATCTGAAGGAACAGGGGAACTGCATAAACCTTCTATTATTCTGGAATGCTAATAATGAAGCAATTGAATATGGTGACGTACATTCCTGTTTCAATCCTGATCGTAAGAGTGGGCATAATTTAAACACTCAGCATGTTAACAGAAGCCAGGCCATCATATTTCACTGCCTGCATCAATAATATGACATGCCTTACTGTAAAATATGCTAAGAGTGGTCACCAGCATAGAATGTCATTTGATTCCACTGTTCAGTGTTCTAGTTAGTTTAAATGTAGTTAATTAGGAATGCTCAATAATATAATTCTGTCTGATACAGATATGCTGTAACAGTATGAATTCATATTCATATTCAATATAAAAAAAATATGAAAGCTACAATATAATATTATAATGGATAGTATTAATTCTAATGAATACAAAATAAATCATGTTCAAATGCATAAGGGCAATATGCCTAATTATTTTCATGTTATTGCCAATAACCAATACATGGTCAATATCAAAATTATTATAATTTTTTTAAGAAACACTAAAAACTATGGATTCATTGAATAATGTTTATATGACTGCACCATAATAATATAAATGAAAGACATACATTTTTATATTCAATAAAATAATTAATAACTGTAATAATATTATTGATCTATACATCAGTATTACAACATAATTCTATAATATATAATATTAATTAAAATAATTAGAATTAATAATAACATTAATAATTCAAGAAAGACTACATTTGAAATATTCTGTTTAATAATGCTAATAATTAATAGTATTAATTCAGATTTATATTCAATATAAAAAATACATACTACAATATAATATTATAATGAACAGTATAATTTATTAATTAAAAATAAATCATATTTTACTTCTGGCTGATAACTATATGCCACTAATAATTGTCATGTTATGTCTAATAGCGGCAGATATTACAATTTAGTAGTTTTTTTTTTTTTATTAATTACCAAGAACTAAAAAAAAAAATACATAAAAATAAAAAAATATTATGGATAATAAGAGAGTATTCCTTTTGAGATTTGCTAAATAATTATTTTTTTAAATAATGTTTATATGACTGCAACGCAATAATGTGAATTAAAGAAATGACAATAAAATCATTCAATTGTAATAATATTAATTAATATTCAATATTACAACAATATTCAAATACTGTACTATAATAATTAATAAGTACGAATGAATAATATTAATCAGTGAAGAAGGACTCAAATTTAACTATTATGATTAATAAATGTTAATGATTAAAAAATTGAATACTACAATATAATATTCTAATTAATAGCAATGATTATAATGAATAAAAATAATTCTGTAATGATAACAATATGCTGCTAATTATTTTCATATTATGGCCAATTAAACTATTATAAATGTAATTAAATTAATTTACACACGACACTGCACCACTGATCATGTGCTTGTTACTCCA